TCTACCGAACTTCGTGTTCCGAAAAGTATCATTCGTTCCAAAGAGGGGTGTGCTGTTTGCCGTTTATCTCAACTCCATCATTAGAAGGAGGGAAGCCCGGCGTTCTGTCTGTCTCAATACACAAAGCGGAGATTTAGTGTGTCTTTTTGCATGCCCATTGGTGCGTCCTTCCGCAAGTCACGTACGCACGACGAAGAGTGTGAATGTCACGTAGNGGAAAGAGTTATGAAATGAGAATTCGACCAATACTGTTCATATTGGTTCTCTAACAAGGGGCATGTGGTGCACGCATTCGCGTGCGTAGCCCAACTGGTCAAAAAAAGGCAGCAGTTCATTTCATATTGCAGTTCACTTAAATGTCTGAGACTGAATGTTTCCTTTAAGCTGCGTAGCAGGCATTCCTGGTTGGGATTTATTGCACTGTAATAAGCGAGGCCTGAAATGGTTCTTATAAAGGAAGAGACGATCGAAGGTCAGTGGGTTCGTCAGCGACTTGCAACAGTGGGACATTCAGGAAAAAGAACTGTGAGCTGCTAGTAACCCCCTCTGAAGAAAATTACACCAACGTCTCCGTGAAGAGCAGGAGCGTCAGTTAATGGTCGAGGTGTCGAGGTACGGTATGCCAAAGGGTGCAATAAGCAAAAAACATTAAGTGTAGCGGAGCATCTCTCTCATAATAGATAAAAGCGTAACCTTTTCGTACACACTATCCTCACGCTAGTCTATTCGGAGTGTTGTCTGCTGGGTGAAAAAATCTCATCGCATGTAAGGGAGTATAATCGGTAATTAAAATTTGTTTGGAGTCCGTTTGATGAGAAATCTGTACTTTTGCCCAAGTCTAATCACTGCATCTCCGTTTCTTGAAGCATACAGTTAATATTGTTTAAAATACGAAAAATGAAATATTATTTGGGAGATTTGGTCGAGTTTCATTGCAAGTTCAACCTCCACCTGCAGCATCCTTGCTTTCTGCAACTGATTATGGAGAAATAGACAGATTCATCTTAACACGTCCCTCATCACACTTAAAAACTCATGGAATGTAGGCACATAATTGTGCCTTACAACGTACTCGTCCCTTCTTGCATAACTGAAGGCTGTGCCAAACAAATCTGCAAAAAGCGATTGAGCCGTCTTGGAAGCTACTGCCGAAGACCAACTATGCACTGTCGAAGTTTCGGATTTGCACAACGTCAAAGTTTCGGATTTGTACAACAGCGCGGATATTGAAATTGTATCTAAAGTTCATTAGCTCGCTCCTGCGCTTTTTGGGGGCTCTAACATGACAGACATCTGTCAAAGGAACCTAAAGAACCCTGTCGTTTCATTTTTTACTACATACTATTTACATTCCGACCTTTTAGCTGCATTTCCGTTCAGAATTTTGCCATTAAAGATGATGGTTTCTATTTGAGAAAGTTGTGATGAATAAAACTCGCTGCGAATAACCGCGCAGTAGGCAAAATTTCTTTAGGCGCATTTCGCACCTCGAGGTACGGTCAAGAGAAATTCGTTTTTCAATCTAACATTGCGATTGAGGGAATGGTCATTTTTGCAGGATGAAAGAACTTAAAATGTTAGCTCTTTCTCGCTTCAGAGTAGGCATCACATTTATAGTGCCTGTCATGGCGGGACAGAGAGAACCGTAGCGGTGGGGTCCCGCCAAAGAGGCAATGCCCGTAAGATCAAGTACCGATGGGTCGAGGGTGGTCAAGAGTACTGTAGGTGATCAGTAGTGACCAGGAGGTAGGAGGCTAGCAGGAGTAACCATGCCAGGGGAAAGAAAAGACGCGGGAAAGACCGTATAAAGAGGGAACCTCAAGAGGGGGAGGTCGTCAATAAAGTTTCCTCCATTTCCCGTCGTCAGTGCCCCCACGGAGTTAACTCCGTGCCGTTGGAACCTCGGTGACTGCCCTCAGGCGAACCTCTGTGGTTCGCGAAGGGGGCGACTTTAGAAAAGCCTTAGTGGCCGATTTCTCTTTGGTGGGATCCCCTGCATTCTGCCCGACCCTCGGGGGGATTTTGATTGTGCTGTATTTTTGATTTTGTTTTGCGCATCATTGTTGTATTTTTGTTCGGATTTTCGTTATTGCTTTCGCTTTTAAACTATTCACTTCTCGTATGTTGTCTCACACTCGAAGCAGATCGCCCCGTTAAGTGTAGTCCCTAGGAGGGACCCTTACATGCCAAATATAGAGCAGGAGAAAGGGGTGCTGGACGAATTTGAGGCGTATGTAGAAAGATCGTATTTGGAGCGACTTTAACGAAGGCGATGTTCATAAGGAACGGATTGATTTCTGATGCTACTTCAGTGCTCAACGATACAAACAACTCTGAATGCTCTAGCTACGTGTATCTCAGTCAACGTGATGAATGAGCGAGCGCAGGAACAGCGCATAGGTAAACGAGTGACGTGAGAAGCGTTCAAGAACAAAAGAGCGGGAGGTTAGTGAAGATCATTGAGCTCCGACATCATATCTTGAGACTGTGTGGCCCCTTCCGCCTCGACACATCTGAGAGTTTTCTATCCTAGGAATACAGGATGAACTTTAATCATCGTCATTGAGCGCACTGAAGAAGGAGCGGTTCTCGAAGTTTCTCGGTACTCGTGAGTATGGCCGGCTTCTAGTCGAACATCGACTTTTCCCTTGGTGTAAGCATAGGCATTCCTGATATTCGTTCGATGACGAAGCTCGGAACTCTGGAATCCCTTCTGCACTTGCGTGTACAGAGAATTTCCGAGCATCGTCCTTTCCGGAAAGCGTTGTGTAACGCTGACACCATGGTCATCCTGCTTTCGTAGAGTCCAAGTTTCCGGGGTGTACGACAAGGAAGGAAGGACAGTAGTGTCGAACAGGTGAGCGTGGAGCCGGATGTTCTTCGTCTTATTCGTTGCTCCCTCGATGTTCTTCAAATGCTCCCCATGCTACGCGTTTCCTTCTGCTTGGCTCCGGAGCTTTGTCGTTCGTCATGCTTACTTCTCGACCTAGATGCACGTGGCGAGAGCTATCAGTGTTGCCCGCTCCATTAGCGTGAATTGAGCATCAGATATGCATCCGTTTCTCAACAAGATACTTCGTTAAGTTTAGTTTCGAGCCGATTCCACAAGCACTATTGAACTCGGCCAGCATTCGTTCCGCCTGCTCGATATTCCGTGCTATGAGCAGGACGTCGTGTGCGAAGCGGACGTGATGTAAATAAATAGCGACCGTCAACATTCGTTTCCATGGCTTCCCATTCCATATGACGCATAATATATTCGAGAGCGGTGCTGAAAAGGTTGGGCGAGATGGTATCGCCCGGTAAAAGTGAAAGGCTTGTAGATTACAGACAGCAGGCGATTGGGCGATAACTGAATAAGATCGCCTGATCTCCCTTTATACACCAACACCAATAGTTTTCCACTAGCGCTTTGCATTTCGATGGGTACCGCGTGAGGAGCCTATCCACAGTTTTGACAACAACTGAAGGAAGACCTTTCAGATGTACTTGTTGGATCCTATTGGGATCAAGCACCGTACGCGATAGTATGCCGAAAGCCGGAAGGGACAATCGAAGGAGTTACATATTTGTCTTGCCTAAGATGGTAGATGGGCACGTAGATGTAGCTGTCGAAAAGATCGGAGTAGAAGACGTAGATGACCTTCTTCATTGCCGTGCGAGATGCATTAACTGTTCCGTCGAGACGAGAAAGGAGAGTTCTCTTGGTCTCTTGACTGGTTTCTCTCGATCTCGGCGGCTTTGGTCAAAACAGCTACTCTTTTCAGATCTTCCTTTAACGCTTTTCTGAGTTTCTGACAAACTTCCCAAGTTTGAATGTTATCTGGTTATTGCCATTGCCTGCCTAATGCCACGCTCACGTACCCGCTCCAGAGTCTTTGAAGAGAGTCGTTCATCGGCTGCTTGTAGACTCTCTGCTTTCCTAGCACTATCGTGAAAAAGTTCGCTGAGCCGGTTGTATTCTTCATCGATCCTGTCGATAACGATATCTTCACATTCACTCCCAAAGGAAGCGAAACGGTCCCAGTTGATGGAGGTCTTGGGGCTTCATTTCTTGTACTTTACAGCTCTCTCCACGCATTGAGAAACATAATCTAATGAGAAGGAGGCGATGATCCGATACCGAGCAGAACTTCGGAGCAACGGCGACATCAGTCCGGCAAAAATGCCGATTGAAGATGATGTGGGGTATTTCATTAAGGACCTGTCCGCTAGGTGACTCCAGTGTCCATCGCAAATGAGAGAGCTTCTGGAATTGCGAGTTAATATGGGTGGTATGGGTCGACTTCTTTCCGTGAATTCCGATGGGGAACTCTTCTGTCAACCTTCTGGGGCCTATTTTGGCGTTAAGATCACAAACGATGATCTTGAAGTAAGCCAAGCTTTCCTACGGATCGACGTTCATAGCCATGTACGTGGTGGCGAGGAGTCCCTCTCCCTTTGAGCAGCCTGTTTTGGCTGTGAAATTCTAGCAGCTTTTCCCGGGCGGTTCTACCGAACGCTGCGGTATTGGGCACTTCCACCGGTTCAAAGGAATGAGGCCCATTTATATCACTGCTTTTGGCATAATGGTATCCACAAGTGGCTTGCCAGGTCTGACGTGGAGGATGGGCTGATGCCGAGTGCTAGGCAGGTCATCCCAAAGTGGAATTGGGGTTTTGTCTCTGGAGGCGGCCCTGAACCGTCCAACAGACACTGCCAGTCTCTCGAATGCAAGTTTTGGCCGAGTATATGGGCAGTTAACTAACTGCACCCGCAGACTCTCTACACACGTTTGCGTGGATACACCTGCGATGAAGAATACATCGACCCAGCGCAGCAGAAACAGGACGTCCATCTCCGAACCCACCTGCGTCTTTTGGCAAGAACCGGCGACTTTCTACGGGCGACTTACTCGCATATCCACCGAATGATAGCGCCCTACGTGGCCTCGGTGGGATCTTTCAGTGAGAGAGAAAAACCCTCAGTGAAGCAGATCCGTAGGGAACACGTAAGTGCAGATGGGAATCTGCCGTTTCAAGTTCGGTCGACGAACGAAGATTCAGGGACGCTGTGGCTTCAACATTGTATCTGAGACGAGGTGTGCCACGCATGTAATGCGACTTTGTGATAACAAGTACATCAGGGCGGTCAGCTACCAGGTAAATAGCATCGACCGTACATCGTGACGGAGGCCGGCCCGATAATCACAATTGCTCTATACCGTAACTACATTATGATTTGGATCGTGCTTTTCAATCTAGGAGAGTTCACTGGACCACATGGGCTCGCCACCAGGACGGAAGGAGACCTTGCTGACCCATTCGTACAGTTCGATGACCAACGGAACTGGTGGACAAAGTGGTGTATAGTGGTGTATGCATGGTCATATATGTGTAGAAACACACTAAAATGAACTTGCCATAAACCAATCTTACAGACCTTTCTCATTGTGGGTTCTCTCTCGTCGCGGTCCCTAATGCCAGGTAGGAGTAAACAGCGGACCGAAGTTGCCAGTATCTGCCCTGAGACGCCCAGAGATGTCTCACTGCTTTTCTGTGTCGATCTACCTTCTGCATCTCGCTGGTGTATCCAGGCATACGTGAGCGGAGAGCTGCGAGTGTGGCTAGTATGGGCTCAGCCAAAGGCTTGCAATCGAGTAAGTGGGAAGAATTTGGGAGGCAATGCGGGGTCGCCTCCCGAATCAAAGATCCTTGTCCACTCTGAGACAGCCTGGCTAGCTACTCATGGGTACCCACATACCGAAAACAGTAATATACTTGGCCCTCACTCCCAGTGTTGGACAGGACCGCATGGTATAGGCTGTATAACAAAATCTCAGAGCCAAAGAAGGTACTTTAAAAGAAAAGGATCAAGATGGCGACCTCTAGTTGAACATGCCACAGAAGAGGAGTCGACGAGGTAGGTATCCTCGCCAATATGCACTAGCTATGAACATCGATCCGTACAGAAGCTTGATGATGGGAATCGGACGTTTGCGATCGAGAAGATGTGGCTCGAACCAGCTCTAACAATCCTCGGCGCCTACGCACCAACATCAACTATAAAGAAGAAGATTGGAAGTCATGGACCTGGGATTGTTCTAGAGATGCTTCACACTTTCTTCAATGTTAGCGTCAGCATTACAGCTCCAGAATTGGCCCCAGAAGAACGACTGAAGGGCTACACATTAATATTCACGAAATGGGATTGAATGAGCAGGCTGGAAAGCTGTCCTTGTTTACCATGTCGACCAACGCCATCCACAGTAATTCACAGTCTCAGAAGTCCTCTCACTTGCGATGGACTTGGGCTTATTTATTGAACAGTCAATGAGTAGACCACATCAAATTTAATAGAAAATTTGCCTCGCTGACGTCGCTGTTTTTCCGAAGTCTCACACGGATCGCCATCGCCTGTGCACATGTGCACGTTTACAGAAAGATTGCGTTCATTCGGGTTGAAACGTCTTGAAGTTATCTCCAAATTCGTTAGCTGCGTTTGCCTGCCATGTCGAGAAGTCAAAATAAAGAACAACCAAACTGCGAAGCTGAGCGGAAGAAAATGCGCAGCGAGGAGAGAACGTTCAGGGAGTGGTGATAAAGACAGGTCATTTCACTCTCCCTTCATATTTTCGATTCTGTAGTCTTTCCTGCCTTGACACAACCTCAAAAACTTGGATTTTAGGAAGGCAAGATGAGTTATGAAGTAGGCATCATTGAATATCATTTGACGCTGAGAATAGAACGATTTTCCGAGTTTCCCAATAATTACAAATGCAGGAATGGATTCAGAGTTTTAAGCTCCATCCACGAGCGGGGGATTAAAGGACGCACCACTTGAAGGAAATCAAAAATCAGATAAACTAAATACGTTATACAATTTTTGATGACCGTTGGACTAAATGGACCCGTCAAACGAGCAACAGGAAGTCTCACAGCGCGATAGTTGCACTTCCTCACGAACTTCTCAACGAGAAATGGGTGGTAGAGTGGGAAGGGNGGAGGGGGGGGGGGGGGGGGGGGGGGGGGGGGGGGGGGGAAGGGAAAGTTATGCATCGTGTCCCACGAGCGAGGGACGGTTCACCAAGTTACCTTGATTCGTCACAGGAATAAATGTGGGCATTACTGACGCCCGCTCGAGGAAATTGATGCTTAACGGGGCGGTGGGTGATATAGATGATTGATGAGTGTCAAAAAGCCAATAATCTTATGCCGGCCATGACTTTTCTGAAAGAGCTCAAAATTGGCATGGAATGATCAAGCGATTTATAACGTTGCGAGCGCTATATTTAGGCTCACTCTCGATGTTGGAGCCTCCGGTGACACCTAAAATTACCCTCACTTTCACTTAATCTTGTCATGGTATCTTGATGTCTATGTCATAAGAGAAATAGATTAGGATTGATCGGACACGGTACATTATAAGGGGAACGAGATCTGATCATCTCCATGCTATGGGATTGCGACTGTGAGCAAGACCAAGGCTTGTTTGTGGTTTTTTTGTTCTTTTTTCAGCAATGGATCCCATTTTCTCATTGTTCTGATAACGGTAGCGACAAGAACTTATTCAATAATATGGAAATCTATAGCAGTGATCTATGTATACATGGTGTTGAAGCTAAAATGAAACATGCAATCTTTTAATAAAACGGTTACGATTAGCCCGTAGAAATATTTACAATAAGAACCGCAAATAGGTCCGCAAATAGGTGATGACGCGAATCGGCTACATATGGTGTACATATTGTTACACACTCAGGGCTAACTCATAAGGTCAGAAATGTATACATCTTTGTAAGCTGGCGAACCTTGAAACAGATTCACTTCAGAAAATTCACTCTCGCCATCAATAGTGAATGAGGGAAACCTTCTTACTAGTCATATGTCGATGTTTAGCTATTAATTTCGTTCGTCACTCGGTAACAGCTTTCACCTCAGAAAAACCTTTACTATCATTGCGTTTTGCTCTGAACGGAATTTCTTGCATCAGAAAGCCGTCAAGCTCAGGCTAACATATGATAGTAAAGTCGTCGACCGGCTCACTGCAAATGGCAAAGCATTGCAATGGTTGACCGGCAGGTCTCCATGACGACGATACGCGCGCAGAGCTTCGACCTTGTAAAGGGGCACTTTTCCAATTCTTTATTCAGCCTTTTAGTGCAACTTATCTAATTCATCATGAGTTCACCAGCTTCGTTAAGTGCGGTAGTGAAATAACACGACTGTAGTTTTCATTCAAATCGCGTGGCAACATGCTTTTTCATTTCTTCATTCTCTTTCATTACGAAAACAACGTAGAACCCGAAAGACATAATGGCCAACGTAGAAGAGCTATCAAAGGAAGAAGAGTTGGACGATAGTAATCAGAATGAAGAGATTGTGGTAGGTGTTCAAAAGCAATATTTTGTTACTACATTTACATCTAAAGCTTTCTTTTTTTAGTCTGATCGTGCACCAGAACCAGCCCCTGCTTCGAAATGGAAAGCGAATTTTGAATTGCTGAACTTCGAGGCATCCAATGCGCTTCTGCACAAACTCTTCGTAATGGGGGACTATGTAGGGTGCAAATCACTCATCGGGGTAAGTCGAACTGATGAACGGTGAAGCTGTTTTAAAGGCACAGTTCACGGTGAAAATGGTTCCTGAGATTCCTCCGCAGGCGGAATTTGATGCCCCTCGTATACCATATCTGGAACTATTAGGTCGGGAAACGGCCTAGTTGGGGAGTTATAAAGGCTCAAAGAGTGGCCGGTGTGTATCTTCGGACGAGTTTTACCACCATTGTAGAGGCTGTATCGATCACAAGGGAACCCATGTAGGAAGTTCAAACAACTTGTCATGACCCATAGTTACAGTGGAAGACAGCTCTGTACAGTTCTGGCTTGATGTAATTAGCTCTTTATGCAATAGCAATAACTGGAATCTCGTCCGAATACCCCTTCCATGTTATTTCCGTCATGACAATCTCGTCCAAACTCTATTTTCCCTACTTTTGAAGAGCCATATTTTTCTCGAAATCGGCGGCTTCTCTTGCTTCTTCACTACTACCGATGAACTATTCCCAATCGATACTTCCGCTTTTCGAATAAAAACGGGTACCTCAGAATTATCGTGAAGTGAGCCTTTAATAAACTCTTACACCTGCTGACATGCAAGTAGCAGATAACATCTCAACCCGACTGAATTGTCAAAGAATCTAATTTATGGAGCGTCTAGATATGCATTTGTAAAGAGTATTCTGAAGCATTTTCTTAAAGGCAAGCGGAAGTTGTCTCAATTCTGGATATTCCACTCACCTAGAACAAGGCTATCATGTGCTGAGGGAGCGGGCCCCTAATCGAGGTTGCTAATGGTTCATGAAGTGCAATTGTGCCTTGAAAAATTCCTGTTCTTCCAGTTGTGACAGAATGCTTCACCGTTCTTAACAAGCTCTCATGCTTTAGGTTTTACGAGCTCTCCAATTCCTTCCAGGAAATGCTGGAACAGTATTCCAATCAGTGCGAATACGCATTCTACATGCGCGGTCTGATAGCTCGCATTGAAGGTGAGCTAGAGGAGGCCTTGTCGTGGTTTAACAAGGCCCTCGCAATTTCCGCGAACGCAACTACGTAAGTGATCTGCCGAATTAATTGGGAAAAATTGACACGTGAACAACAGCTTCCAGATACCTTGTGAATATTGGACGTATTTACTTTCTCATGGGCAATCACACACTTGCTGTGGAGTATTTGGAGAAAGCTGTGAAGGCGGACCCAACCGATTTGGTACGTAAACAGAGAAACGATTCAGTTCTTGCGTCACTTGATCTCTTTGAGATGCTTCATGCAGATCACTTATTTTGATGAAAAAATATTTTCGTTCCCGTTTTGCATTTAGCTTTCTCACACTGGCTTACTGATATATGTATATTAAAGTTAAGTCGCTCAACGTACTCTTAGCATTATTTTTATGTATATTATGTAGACATAAAGAGCACTCCGCGCATGACCTTGATTAATGCTCTTAGGTAGCTCTTTCATCTCCCTCTGACAACATTTGGACAACTACAGATCCTTCATTCTATTTGAATTCAATAACGACATTGATTGTCATTGTTATAAGCATTGGGCCTTGTAAAGAAGCACGATACAGAACTGCCAGTGGAATTATGCCTTTATCATTGTTTCTCCTACGATTGAAGAATGCTCTATAAATTGCCGGTTCATAACTTCCGAACCACTTCACAACTGTAGGATTTCGAAACCAAAAAATCCCTAAGTACTTCTACAGTTTTCGTAGAAAATTGACCGAATCTCAAGAGGTATTAGTCACCTCTGCATAGTACAGGGTGGCGAAAAATTACGTGCACCATAAAAAACGTTCAAACTTTATTATTTGTATACCAACATGGAAAGAAATACATTTCCTCAAAACAACAATCAATGACATTACATAATCTTAAAAAGTTTTCGAAGTGCCCGCCTTCTGCTTTGATACAGGCACCGACTCGTCTTTTCGCCGAAACTACGGTGCGCTAAATGTAGCCCATGTCCAAACTGACCCAGACTTCCTTTCGTACACTTCTTTTCGAAAACCATCAAACCTTTCACGATTCTATTCCTTAGTTCTCCTTCCATATTACCCCAAACAACGAAGTCCAAAGGATTCAAATCTGGGCTATTAGAGGACCACAGATCCTTCTTCAGGAAGGGGATCATCTCGGTCTTGAGAGAGTGATTTTTTGGATCTCCCTCCATGGGCCGGAGCCTAGTCTTGGCGGAAGATGAAGTTGGGATGATTCCCCTTCAGGATGGCACAACTTCTCCGAGGACTTCTTTCTTATAGAACACCGCATCAATTTTCACATTTTTGTCTATGAAATTCAACTGCGTCTTGCCTGATAGCACTCCAAACCATTAAACTTTTATGGAACAAACTTCTTGTGGCGATTCTTGTATTCCGGATGTTCTTAAAAACGAGGCTGAAAAGTTGGCGTTGATTCTGAGGGTTTTAGCCACTTCCACGGTGAACACTCTTTGGGACAGTTTGGACATCGACTACCTTCGGTGCACCATGGTTTCGGCGAAAAGACGAATCGAAGCCTGTATCAAAGCAGAAGGCGAGCACTTTGAAAACCTGTTGTGCTTATGTAATGTCATTGTTTGTTGTTTTGAGGAAATATATTTCTTAATATGTTGGTATACAAATAATGAAGTTTGCGCGTTTTTATGGAGCACGCAATTTTTCGCCACCCTGTACAATTCCGGATTTCCGGGTTTTTTCCTGAATGCTAAATTTTTTCTTGCCAAAATCCTTGACTTGCTTTCTCTCTATTTGTACTCAGCATTTCTTGGCAACAGGCTGTCTCCGTGTTCTTGTGGTCCTATCCTTCTGTAGCTGGAGATTGGGGGTGTGGTGCGATTCACGCGCCAATATAATGAGGTCATCGTACAAAACGCGCTAAAACATCATGACTACCATCATAACGGAAGAATTAAGAAGTTATAAGCAGAATAAGTAAAGAAATGACCAACTATGCACGTTTACAGAAGGATTGCATCTTCTAGGAACAAAGAATTTGAAGTTATTCTTATATTGAACGTTTGACAAGTAAATTGTTGACCTAAGAGGTGAAATTTCAATCTCGAAGGGGCTTTTTTTTGCCATAGTAAAGAGATTTGCTCTATTCACGGTGAAGCCGTCGACCACTGCAAATATATTTGGTCCATCTCAACAGAAAGGTACTGAAACGATGCTGCGTGCGCGAAGACCTCTAATGGGGTCACGCGTGAATCGCCCCCCCCNCCCCCCCCCCCCCCCCGGAGATTGGGCCTAGAAAATGGGCAATGGTTGAATCCGCTACGACTTAGGCCCCATTTATGAAGTAAAGGCTATGAAACCAAAACTGTGGAGGGAGGTTTATTAGCAGTCTAACAGAGGTGTTCCGACACGAGATGCGCTTCAGTGGATCTAATGCTAGCAACGACGTTATTCAAAAAAATATAGAATTCACGAATTGTCAGGGTTCCTAGGATCTTCTTTGAGCGAAACTTCAACAGTTATGAATGCAGTAAACTCACCTTTCGGCTGCAGTGTACCTGAAATGAGCGAATTATTTTCAGAAAGCCTACTACTGGCTGGCTCGTGCGATCTATCATCTCAATACGGATTTATTTAATACATGCGAAAAAGCACGCGACTTGCTTCTCCAGGTAAGTGATTGCTGGTCACGTGGCTGTTCTTTGTTTGACCCTGCAATTTAGATGTAACTCTTAAGTTCGCCACCAGTTCATCGACCTATTCTGAAGTTCGGAGCACGACTGTTTGTCGTCCATCGAGAGGTTCCCTTTGAGTAGCCTTCTGAATTGCGATTGTCTCCAATGCAATACTTCCTTACGAGTGCTGTATGATAAGCTAGCTAGCATATCCGAAGAAATGCCGTGCCATTTTCGCTGTGGCTCGCTCCAGTAAGCCCTATTACTGTGTTTCAGAAGGGAAATGGTCATTGCGAGAGTGCTTTCAATCGACAAGAGGGTCGAAGCTAACTGAAAAGGCGGTGTCATAAATAGTACGAACCAGCCCTTTCGGTTCCCGGCGTGGGGAACCAGCAACGCGTAACTGGTGTTGTCACACTGTCACATTACCTTATTTGCATAAAGAGATGTTCATGGCACTGGATTCTGAAGACCTCGTGCGATGATACGACAACGAGTAGTAGTGGGAAAGCGCAGAGCCTTGGTGCCTTCCGACGGAGATGGGATATTTTGAAGAGATGCTTGTTGCTGTTTGTACCCGACTCGTTATTTTCATTCAGAGTGTATGCACCTACTTATGCACTCTACAACAGGATCCCTTGGTGTTGCAGAGCATTCCACAAAACTTCACCGATCGAAACCCTATCCAACTCTAGAAAAGAAGATACTTTGCATTTCATCTCATACGATGTTAGTCCAGCAAAATACAAGCAGCCTGTACTGCACCAGTTGTGCTGCAACTGGTAAAAACTTTGTCTCACTCAGCTCAAAGCCAGCAACGCCGGTAATTTCCCTAGTTTGCTCAACAATTATGTCAGGTGGTAGCGAGATACAACTGATCGCAGCTGCTTCCGATTCCCTAGCTCGTCTTCGTTTCATCTCGGAAGTCTACTTCATTCAACCTGTTCCTGTTTTGAAGGAGCGAGCTTAAGCCTGCAAAGCGGTGGTCGATGTTGCAAGGCGATCATCTCAGGCGACCCGTGGTTGTGCCAGCACCTCCAAGATTCACTTACAATCGTCGTCACAATATTTGATCCCACCGTGACGAGTGTAACCACCTTTCGCGGAGGTAATGTGCCTATCAGGTAGCCTGCGACAGACATGGCTTCTTGTAGTGATGCCCCAGCTATCTTCTCATCGAGTAACTTCTAGAACTCTTTTTTATTCGCTGAGACAGTCTGGGAATTGCGATGCGGTTGGCGTTGAAGAACTAACACTAACTCCCTCGAGTGATCATTGAAAAGACGAAGTTCACAATCGACAACTTCAAATGAAAAAGCGACAATGACCTCCACACAGCTGGTGGTTCTGGATCCGACCAGTACCAAGAAGTTCATCCTCTCCGCTCGTGCGCATCACTAGCCCGCAGAGTACGCTATCAAAGTACCAACATTTAGAGCGCAAACCTTTTATACCTTGTGGCACTTTTCAATTAGCAGAGTTGCCGGCCCTTTCCGTCTTTGCGCCGGAGGCGCTCGCATACCTTGCACGCCAGCAGGTTATGCGAGCTCGCATCAGCTCCAACGGATGCCGCAACATCAAAGCGCAAATCAGTAGACGTCATTAAGAACTCGACTCAATGATCAAATGACTGAATTGTTAACGGATGGTTTTGTCAAAATCAAGGGTGTCACATGAGCATTGAGTAAATGGTGCTGTCAAGGTATGCGTCCCGTCTTGAAATTGTTGTGCCCGAATGGATGAAAAATTCCCCTTTGAAAATTTCTTGTTCGAAAATGAAGCCTCTGATAGAGAAAATGAGACTTTGTGAGCTCAAGAGTAAGCATGAAGAGAAAGCGTATACCACGATCAGAGCACTGCGCCTTTCATAGTGGTGGAGGGGAGTACACTGCAAGCCTTTCGACTGGCAGCAAAAGAAAGGGCAACGACATATTTACCATTGTTTCCTTCATGTTGTGCTTACAATCCGTGAACAACATCACCAAAAACCCCACTAGATATCTTCATTTGGGGCGAGCAACTCCTATAATGAGAAGGTTCATCTGCAAGCAAGACCGATAAGTATCACTCAAAACATCTTAAGCTGGACCCGAACAACTGACCCACAAGAAAGTCTTTTCAACTTTAGAATTATGGGGAGTAATCAAAAAAGGAAAGAATTTGCTGAGTGAGTGACTCTCATCAGACAGGGATATCAAAAAGTATTTCTACATGTTGTCGTAGTTATGCCCAGGGATATCAAAAGTATTTCTACGTGTCGTCGTCAGTTATGCCGGGCCCTTTTCTTTCGTGACAAAGGAGTCACTTGAAGTACGCATACGCCACTTCGCATTTTGATCCGTGTGACTTTTTTCGAAAAATTCTCGATAAAGGTTGGCACTGAGCGACTCCGAGGGCTAGCGGAGCACTAGAAGCAGTTGCTGACGAATCCTAAGAATACTCACTAAATGACACGAAAAACACAAGCAATAAGAGTAAAATGCATTCCAGGCTCCAGGTCTACAAACTTCGATCGAGTTAATCATCTTTCTCGCTAAGCTGATGGCCGAATTGGGAGACACGACAGCTGCGATACAGGCATACGAAAGAGCCCTCCAGGTATTTATGGTACCACAATAATAGTGAAAAAATAGAAATATTAGGTTGGGATAAGATGTTTTACTCGACATTCCATATCCGTTTCGGAAACCTTTATTTACATTAAAAATGTTCTCGATCAGTGATATACTCTGCATAGTTCCGCCAATGCGATCGAGCACTGTCGTGAAAAAGACAAACACTACGTCGAATAGCGTCGGCCAAATTCTATAGCTGAGAAGGGTAAATCTCGACGGTCACGGTGGAACGAAAGGTGTTCAAAGTGTGGCATTCCCTGAGAAACAACACAACAAAACCTTTCTCGGATGTAGTCCATTTCTCTGCTTTCTTGAAGGTGGCTCGTCACGAGACACTCGTGGGACTAGCACAAATAATGACGATATCAATTGATAACTCTAAACTATTAATTAGCTAAGTGTGTATGTTGGTTTCTCGGGGATTTGTGTGTGTATGTGTGTAGTGCTCAGACTCGAAAGAGATAGAATGGGCAATGTGTGAACATTGATGGTGGGTGGTAGGAGCTGATAACAAGCGGAAAAGACTGAAAAATAGCTCCAGAAAGCGAAAACTACAGGATTTTTCATGCTAAAAGAACAACAAAATAAATCTAATACCAAAAAGCTCAAAGAATCTGGAGCTATGAATTTCCACCTAACTATTTATTTTGCGCACGCCCCGTCTCCTGACGGCGGAGTCCAGTCTCACCACCCGAATTAAGTGAATCCATCCTGATCCTACACTACTACCAAATTTGATCTGTCTAAGTCCACGGAGACGAGAGTTGTAAATTCCCTCCAGAACATTTATGTCGCGCGCGCCTCGCCCCTGTACGGAGTCCAGTCATACCACCCACCATAAATGTTCCCATGCTGCCCCGGCGCACCTACCAAATTTAATCCTTTGACGGCACGGCAATTGTAGTCTACACGTGGACTACACTTTTTTGGCCGTATGGCACGGTGCAGTCCACATTTGGACTACAGCTGTATTTTCTATTATTTCTTTATGTTTCCACTTTTTAACGATTTTTTTCTTTCGAAACATTAAATCAGGAATAAGTGAAACTACGTACATGTAGTACCGAACCACGGCTTCTCGAAGTAAGTTCGTCTCAACGGATGACACAGCTGCACGCGGATAACAATAAATTCATCCGAAACGCGGACAACGACAACTTTGAACGGAAAATAACAATCAAATAACGCCATGTACAATCAAATAACGAAACAATAGCAGAAAAAACGCGATCACTAGAATACTCAGGGTCCAAGCGATGAAGTCCTCAGGCCGGGTTAAAGACGTCGGATTCGGGCAGTTGAAGCCTGGTGGGGAGGGGCGCAGTTTGGGCTCCTTCTGGGTTCTGTAGACAAGAAGCATCTGAAACGCTCCTCGCCCTCTTTTTATTCTAATAATTCCCGCCAAAACTGTCTCTCGCCTCTTGTGCGATCGATCTTTCCTTGACCTATCTGCACGGGTTCGACCTCCCTCATGCCATACTGTGTGATTCCAGGAAATCTTTTAATTTGGTCATTTTAAAGGCGTTTTTTCGAAAGAATACATTACCATGGTGAATTCTTCGTTCGTTGAACAACTTCAAAAAATGAGACGTTTTGAAAAGACGGACGTTATTAGTATTTTCGCTGTTATCGACCAAATGCAAAGCTCGCAAAAGTTCCCCGAAACGATTTCTGGTAATGATTGAACTCATAGTTGAACGACCACTAGACCGAGTGCCGGTTTTATAAAATGATCAGTAGTCTCTCAATGTGGGCATTCTTACCAAACCCATTTGAAGGGAACATTCCAAAAAATTATCAATTTCTCCGTAGTCGATTCCAGTTAATGTGTTTCCAACTGCGGCAGCTTTTGCATTGCCAAACCCGTTGATTTCTGCGGTGTTCAAATCCATAATACTGTTGTCCAAGAATAACATGAAGTAGTCGATTGGTTACAAATGAGTTGAGCAAGGCGCCTCTCATGAGGAACGAAGCGTTACCAAAGGATGTCGGGTGTATGTGTGCATGTTTGGCCGGGAATTTCTACATCTGTTCTTCTGTGCCAGAGCATCCAAATTTGGAAGGGGCGTGGGCGAAAACGCCAACTTTACGGAAAAGGAAGAGAGCTGGGCTTAAGCCGGGCGACCTGAGTGTTAAACAAAAAGAAATAAAAGACATTGTCAACAATCTTTACCAAATTTTTGAAGCGTGTAGGGCAACTGCATTCACTCCGACACAAAAATAAAATTTGTGTCGAACAAGTGTGTTGCTTCTTCTCGAGAGTATGTCGAATTCAGCTTGAACCTGAGAATTTGGACGTCATGTTCAAGATGGGTATGCAGTATTTACGAAACAACAGCGAGGATCCGGCATTTGCAATGTTCGGAAAGGCGCTAAGCTACCAATCGTCCCATCAGCAAGTCCGCATATATTTTTGAGGGTAGGAACAGAACACTAATAAGCTCTTTCAGAGTATTCTTGCAGCCGGGTCAATTATGCAAGCACATGGGGATCATGATGTGGCATTGAATAAATACAGGTAAGCATGACTAGTCGTTGAAACTAGCTCTCATATCCAATCTACATACTACATCCAAGTAATCGTGAATGGCACATATTATTTATTTATCAGTTGGGGTGTGAACGCTAACACGTGCAACATATCGAGCGGTTGTGGTCAGTGAGATCAATATGAAGAGTGTCAGTGGACTTGTAATTTCAAAGCATGTTGTCAGGTCGGAAACGACTTAGCTGAGGCGCCATAAAGGGCCGTATGCATAACGCCTAGGATGGGGAAGGATTCCCAAGGAAATGTTTACAAAGGGTGCGAAGGTTCAAACTAGGTTAGCGCCTTATTTCTGAATCAAGATAGTTGAAATGGAGCAAAGTTTGCCTCCACGACCTTACCTTAGCGAGAGCTCAGAGAAGCGCCGCCCCCATTCATCCTCCACCCTGAGGAGGGAGGCTTCTTTACCTAGGGCGGGAGATGAACGTCCCTGGAATTGCGCTGGGGCGCCGATGGTCATGTACACCACTACCCCACTATTCACTAGATTATTCATCTGAGCCTTATTCTCCTGATTCCTGCTGCCGAATTCATCAAGTAGTGCTCTGATTTTATTCTACTGCTGTAACCAATAACCAATTTATTCAAGTTGCTGAACTCGCTGCTATGGTTTTCGACTGGCTTATGCATATTATTGGCTTATATCATATTCTTTGTATATCTGGCGATCGCAGGCGTGGTAGATGATGTCACGATGACATGGCGCTGTTTTGCTGTAGTCTTCATCTATTTCACTTTTCACTTTTGTTCTCAGCTCACAATTTTGATATCAAATTGGTGTTGCCAAATATTAATTAATATTAAGTAGCTCTAATAGCGCACCTTCTAGTGGTTTAGCTCATCATTCTTTATCGAATCCTGCCTTCGAGGGGATATGCGGTCATTTGCATAAAAAAGCCTAGGACTCGACGATCACTTGCTATCCTTATCCTTCATAAGTGAGCAAAAATTGAGAGTTGAAGCAAGAGTTGAAGTTGAAAGTTGAATGTCGATAACAAAAGTGAGAAGGTGCAGCACATGGAGAAAAAAAGCATGTGGTTGTACAATACAGGAAGTACTATGTGGAGATCATTGGTGAAATAGACGTTGCAACGAAGTGAGATGTCTCAATGCGACCGAAAGGACTTTAGTGATAGAGACGAGTAGTGAATATTAGGAGAGGTGAAGCATCAGCCAATAGGGATTGCAGTATTGGGTGCGTATGCATTGTGAAAGGCTGCGAGTGTGCAGGATTCTCGAGGTATGAGGTTCCAGAACTAGGGATGGCGCAGAAATGCAAAGGTTAAAGAGCGGAGGAATTGGCACGTATCGAATTTGTGATCGTGAATGGTTTTGAGTATAATATAGTTCTAGCAACCTCTTCTCATGCGCTGTATTCAGCCCTAAATCGTTGGAAATCCTACGAAAAATTAAAGTAGCCCAATTTGCCGAATGGTATTTGATAACTATTTAACAAGTAGTTATCACAATACCAACTATTTATCTGATATATGGTATGCAGATACAATTTTTTCAAGGTTTTTTCCTGGACGCTTCACTTTCTTATTATCCTTTTCACTTAATTACGACCCACTTGGTTATGACATGGGAGCAGTGCGATGATATTTAGTTTCCGCATCTGACTAAGGTTACATTGTATTAAAGTGCACGATAATCGGGCGCCCGGTTCAAAGTCCCACAACTTCCTAAGTGTATTTCGCAGAACTTCCTGACCGTAAGCTACTTCCTTGAGCATTCTTAGGATATGGCTTTCCTCCACTTTTTAGGAAGCTTTCTTGGGGCAGGAATCCACGCTCTCTCTATATTCCGGTTGATTTAATCGGAAACCACAAACTTCAGATACCAACAGGCACTGCTTTGGCTCAACTGGAGGCGTGAAATACTATGCTTCGGCGTCTGACCTATGGCAAAACAAAAATTCCATGAGGTGACTCTCTCGTTCCCTTCCCTGGGCGATATGAAAACGCTTCAAAGGCTGCTTTGAGATTTTGACGTCCGTCCGTCCGTCCGTTCAACGCGTGCTGCGATGGCGGTCGCGTGCGTGTCGCGACGCGGTTCTAGAAAGGTGTCGACAACACTAGATCACGTGCCAGCGCTACCAACACCATTCTAGAACCGCCGTCGCGACACGCACGCGACCGCCGTCGCAGAGCACGCGTTGAATGGACGGACGGACGTTCAGGGAAAGGGTGGTGTTGTCATATAAAGTTTGCATTCACTCTCGAGTTGCAAAACTATTTTGTTTCAGGGTTGCGGTTGAAGGCTGTGACTACAATGGTTGTCTTTGGAACAATATCGGCATTTGCTTGTTCGCTAAAGGGCGTCTTGCCCAAGCTCACAGTTGTCTCAAGAAGGCCTCCTTTATTTGTCCACTCGACTACAAGTAGGTCAATAGAAAGAGCTGAATGAGCTCTCAGTCGAGCTAATTTTTTTCATTGAGTTTTATCAATTCGACAATCATTTACCCGACTAATGTTCTCATAGTAAATCGAAGGCGCATATCCAGTAATGACCGGTTAGCGACAGGCTCGCTGAAAGTGTACGGTATCCGACTTGACGCCATTGCGCAACATTCATTCCATTCATGTGGCGGCTGTAGTTATGCTACTGTAACTTTAGACTACGCTATTTTTTAGAAATTTTTTTTAGAAGGGAAATATGAAGTTAATTCTCAAGCACGGTGCACTTTTATCAAAAGTGAAATCCCGCAGCGCGATTCACCCTTATGGCTCGAATCGCTAGTTAAGGCCTTACTATTCATTACTCTCGTACTGCAAGCGAGTGAACCTCATCTCACAGACTAGTAAATAAGGGGGGCTGTTCATTCTCCCGCAACAGGGCCGATTCGATGTTCACTCAGCGGGATTCGCAATTTATCAACTTTAGATGTACATGAAATTTCAGACCGACCTGGTTGAAGTTTCCAAATCAGCCTCTCGTCTCGTCCCATATTCCACGACGAAAAGCTCAGCTCAGGATAAAAAGCGGACATGATCATGGGGCAACTCAGTACATAGTACATGATGCTTGAAAGCCCTAAAAGACAGTATTATCGAAAAAATCAGAATTAGCTTATGACCATTAGCATGAACCCTTGACACTTTGATGTTCCTATTGTGGTTCTAGAATTAACTACAACCTCGGCCTTGTTCACCAGGCCATGGGCCTACACTGCTCGGCATTGCATTTCCTGAAAGCAGCAGCTGAACTGAAACGGGACAATGCTCAAATCATTGGTGCTATGGCAGGTAAGCGAACGTCGACACCATTGGGACCAACTTCATTTTCAAAGCCAATATTTGCAGTTGTACTTTCGAATATGAATGACATCAACAACGCTAGACGTGCCTATGAGAAATCTATATCAATGGAACCAAAGGCTGAAGTGGTGAGCTTTCTTATAGAAATTGTGAAATATAAAAATGTGAATTTAATACTAGTTCTAATGCGCAGCGGATGTCTCGAGGAAGAGGTGGCAAGGCGTATGCAAGAAGGACTTCGCCAAAACTAAAATAACGGCAGAAGTGTCGTAAGTAGTGAAAAGTGGGGACGGCTGACTAATGGTTAGTGCATAAGTTCGCATAAGTGCTGAAGACGTCATCGAGTGCTTTTCTGACCTCATGCTTTGTGTCGAAGTTGTGAAATTGTACGGCATTGTGACCTTCAAATGCAGGGTGGGTGAGTGATAGCTAGTTTGATGAAAGACTATTATGCACGCTTCACGCACATATGGTGGCGGAATACCAACATCCATGTAAGCGAAACACGGAAAGATCAAACACGGTGGAAAAGAAATGCATGCATGCGGTCCCTGCGATGACGTGGGATGCTATGGATAAAAAAAAAAGAAAATGGGTTATGATTAGGTGATCCCCTTTCTCTTCACCCTACAGGTAACTCAGCAACGTTGTAGAGTCCGCTGTTTTTGTTAGCCGTATACGTTTCATTCTATTTGAACTAATTAGCCTGTGGTCTCCTCAGCACGTGTTCACATCATCGTAGTCCACGATGGCTGTTTGCATGATAACCCTGACGCCTGCGAAGTTGAGATGCTTCTCGTGCTTACTGCATACGGCCAGCACCAGTTGCCATGGACGCTTTTCTAGATACTTCGCCACCAATTGTTCAGCTGAGAATATGGCATCCGTTACAAACCTTTGAGACATAAAGCAAACCTGCCGCTTTGGGATCAAGACAAGTTCTCTCAATCTCGAGTCGACTAGCCGCTCGCACAGATTCGTGCTATGCTCGGTCAACCCGATCCCGTCATAGTTCAAACCCTGCGTATATCGCGCTCCCATTTTGTTTGAAAATGATATCCATGATACCCTATCTCTTTAGCGCTCTTCGCACAGCATTTTCTGTGATCAAGAAATGGGTGATCTATTTCTGTGCTCTCCGATCTCTTTCCATGCCTCACTATTCCATATGAGATCAACCTCTTTCCTAATTTACATTTGCTCTATTGCTTCTCAGACCTCTATTTTGTCTGCATTGCGATGAGACAGCTAACGCTCCTTGATGTAATAGCTTCTTCGTTTAGAAGCCTTCAGAATTATTTGACGCATGATCCAAACTGGCTTTCAAGATTCTACGTCGCTGCTCTTCACGGCTTGGGTAGCCGAGGTGGGGCTGTGGCCAAAGAAAGATAAACATTTCTCCTTCTTGACGATCGCGCAGGGCATATACATACATATGTTCATATTCTCTGCCTTTGCTACTTCTCCCGCCGGGAAAGCAGCTTACAGTATTGTCCTTCTTATTCTTGCTTGGGAAATTTGCTGTGAAGTCAACCCTTTTTCGTTTCTCACCATCCACTTACAGTCCTATTTCTATGTATTGGGTTGTCCAGAAAATAATGCGACACTAACAACACAAATTTTACATCGTTTTTCATACAATAGAAGACAAGTTCAATCAGTGATATAGTCGCCGTTATTATCGATGACCTTCATCCATTTCACTGACAGTTTGTCGATCCCACTTTTCCAGAAATCAGCGGATTGCGTACTGAGGAAGTTGCCCACCTCCGTTTTCGTCGTGTCTGGCGTGTTAGCATTGCCGAGTCATTGCTTCTTCGTCCGCACAGGAAGGATTCGTTGAATGGGATAGTGATAGGAGACGAAAGCTGGGTGCCGCAAACCCGCAAGAGAGCGTAGTTGCTAAAGGGCGAACTACCACCGAAGCAATCGAAACGTGGTTTGCAACAGAAGAAGATTCTCCTAAGTAGTAGGTGGAAATGTGATGGGATGCTCTACTACGAATTCCTGGGAAGTGGAGCTACGGTGACGGCGACGACGTACTCCAACCAGCTACAGAAAATAGCCGATGCAATCCTTCAAAGGTATCCGAAACGACTGGAAACCTATCTCCTGCACGACAACGCTCGCCCCCCATGTGGCAACGATGACGCGTCAGAAAACTCAGGAGCTAGGTTGGGAAGTACTACTTATCCACCGTACTCTCCTGATCTAGCCCCTTCCGACTATTACTTGTTCCGAGCCTTGAAGCGGCACCTACAAGATTAGAATTTCGATAATCAGGAGCAACTCAAAATGGAGGTGGGCAACTTGTTCAGCACGCAACCCGCTGATTTCTGGATGAGTGGATCTACAAACTGCCAGCGAAATGGATGAAGCTCATCGATAATAATGGCGACTACGTCACTGATTGAACTTGTCTTTCATTGCATAAAAAACGATGTAAAACTTGTGTTGTTAGTGTCGCACTATTTTCTGGACAACCAAATACAATGTGCCTAAATCCAAGAATTCTTTGGGAATTGCAATAAAAAGGGACTTCTTTGCGCTGCCTTGATTACTCATGCGAGTCAGTTTTGACAAAGTGCGGGACAAATCGCGCTAGGCTTTCCAAGCCACTAATACTGTGTTGCAGTGTGGCACATTTGCTAGCATAATGTGCACTTGCCGTCATTGGCTGCTTCATAATCCGCCGGCACGCCGGCCCGCGGACTATAAAAGCAGCCATTGAGGCAGCTGTTNTTTCCAAGCCACTAATACTGTGTTGCAGTGTGGCACATTTGCTAGCATAATGTGCACTTGCCGTCATTGGCTGCTTCATAATCCGCCGGCCGGCCGGCCTGCGTGCCGGCGGAGGCAGTGCTAGGGGGGAGGAGGGAGGCAGACAGTGTAAGGCAAACAGTCCACGCCCCTTCGAAGGTTGTTTGTTTTCAGCCCCTCGAAGGGGCGTGGACTGTTTGCCTATCTGCCTGCCTCTCTCCTACCCCTAGCACTGCCTCCGCCGGCACGCCGGCCCGCGGACTATAAAAGCAGCCATTGAGGCAGCTGTTTGAGAGCACATTCATGAAATGCTTTGAAACAGTGGAACTCGTCTCTGAGGAACTAATTAATTTCTGTTGTTTCACTCCGATGTAACTAAATAAAAAATTTTTTGATGCCGTGATATCAGCTGTTTGATACCAATGTGATTGCAGATACTGAATTCTGCTATTTTCGAATACCGTCAGAAAAATCGGGACATTGCCAGAGAAGCCCTCACTCACTTTAAGACAATATCGAGCACGGGTGGCTGCAGAAAGGTTAGAGAGGGAGACCTAGGTTGACACTGAAAAGGCCTCTTCCAAAAATTTTTGTTCAGGATCTACTCTCTAAAGCTGATCAACTGGACGATGCACTGCTGTCCTTGCCGCATTCGAGTGATCAACAATCCGCTTAAATGCGCCCAAACCTCAAATATTCTTCAGAACATTTTCTCGGAGTTCCCTTCACGTTCAGATTTCTTACAGAGTTCCTATGAAAAATCCACTACATAATTAAGATGTTCATGTAGACGATGAAGAAGTAGTAAAGATTGATAGTCAAAAATTCAGTACAAAAGAAACAAGTGTCTGTGATTATCGAACATTCGGATTGAGATCCTCCTCTCTCTTCTTGCAATCATAACAAAACATCTGTAGTCCTTCATTCATCGTTCCGTCTAAACAGAATTTCCGTTTCTTTGCGCAACAGCAATAGCTGATCAGCGATGGGGAAACTTACCAGTGGGAAACATTTATTGAAGTATGGTGGTAAAATAAAGTTGACGAGGACAATGTAATACCTAAAGTCATTCATAAAGGACATTCCGTAAGCCATTAAGAATTAGTGAAAACGAAGAGGAACGTTATTACACTATAATGAAGATCACAGCAACAATGACGTCACGCAGAGTAGTGGGATCGGGTGGAGTCTTTTGCTCTATCCCCTGCACTGGTATAGGGCGGCCTGGTATCCAGATCGGGAAGCTAGATGATATCTGAAAAAAATGACTTTGTGAACGAAATATTTTGACACTCACATACCCTGCCTAAGGTGGCATACCTGGCTTAGCACAGCGGAACACGATGAGGGTGGTGTACTGAACAAGGCGAAATGCTTTGGCGAACCTGCTAGTTTCAGCTTTAGGGTTTCCGACGGAAGACGTATTTTGACAACTTTTTGCTATAAAATGAAGAGATTAAAAATGTGATAATTAGGAGGTTTCTTTGTATGCCCCGCTCGATTGGTTCACTTTTAGCCCACATCTGAGATGTGCAGCACAACGTGCGCAACTCTATCAAAACTTACAGTTTCTATAAAAAATCGATCCGTCTTACTTATGATTTATCTGGGCCTCCATTCATATGTGTGCTGTGTTGAAGAAATTTCAAGAATTGATGAATTTGAAGGGTAAGATTGAAAGCCAGCACTAGTGCAGAAAGAAGAACATCCATAAGGGTTGATAGCAAGAGGGGAGAGAGAATAGTTTACGATAGATAAACTTGTTAATGCCGCGAATCACAAGAGCTCATTGCTTAATTTTGGTTGCGACGCAATCAAGCAGTATTGAAAAAGCTGGACATATCAGTTAAAGCCGCAAGGAGGTCCTGAAATCCAAGCAGATTTTCTGTTTCTAACCAGCAGCGGTCGCTATGAGTAATGAAACCCTTTACAGCCGAAACATCACAAAAGGTCTTGAAAAGGTCAGAGGTGACTACAACGCGATTAGCAAATCACTAAAGGCTAATGCGAGCCACCTAGGCTTTTTGCAAAAAGCGCTACGTAAAAATAAAAGATCTTTCAGTAAAAAGTTCTTCATACGAGAGGAAAGTCAACACCGGAGCCTCTTACGTCTACTCGCCAAATCGCCCCATCCTCGCAGTTTCCTAGAATCAAAAACCAAACGATAAAATATTGTGGCCGGGCTATGGAACGGATCGGATGTGACATAGCGACAAATCTATAACTGAGTAACACGCTGGTCAAGCGATGCTCATTGGTCGTGGCCCTCGTTGAAGGCTTCCAGCCATTTGTAAAGATTCCCGGAAAAGGATAGGCGGATAAGTTCTTTCAGAACCGATACAGAAATAAAGAAGCAACGTAACCCTTCCTTGAACCTCCAGTCATGCACACGATCGGTTGTTCAAGTATTCTCATGAAGTTCTGTCATTTATTTGTGCTCATCAATGCTGATGTTACTTTTTTCTGTAGCCGGATACAGGTCTTTGAACCCTTGTTATAAACATACCAAAATTCCAAACGTTTGCTGTTAAAATTGAGGCGAACGGATTGCAGCTTTCGTGAAAAACCATCTACGATTCAATCACACCAACGCACACTAAAGTCGCAAGGTTTCCATCTTTAAGCGAAAAGCATAACGAATTCGGTGGTTCCCAACTTCCAAGGTCTTTATCAGACATTATCAACTGTTTGATGGTCCTTCAGCATTTATCTCCATGTCGCACTCTGAACGCACTCAACTACCGAAACTCCGCTCCCAACGCTGGATGCGAAAGAGGTTTACCATTTGAAAGGCATCTGTCTGCAGTATAAGGCAGTAGGTTTTGCTGCTCCCCACAGTAATTGTGCTCAGAATTTCAGGATTGCAAATTTGTAGATTGAGGTGACAAACTAACCACTAGCCCAGTGTCTATTTTCCATGAATTTCACAAGTATATTACCCATCAGTGGTTGAAGTTATTTCAAAAGAGCCAAGTCTTAAACTAGTCCGCTAATGCTTGGCGATCTCCAAATTATGCTCTTTCGTTGTATCTCCTGCATTCTGAAACTAACTCGTACATTCCTCGGAACACTTTTTCTACATTATACGGATGTATGTTGCATTTCTGCTTTAGTTTTATTTAGACTGAGGCTCGGAAAGTATCTTCTTTTTATAGACCAAAGATTCTCTAGCGCTTTGAATGAGGTGCTGCGTATGTGAGCATGGAAGACTAGTAGATTGCTGCAGGAAAATCAGTGAAGGCATTTGGAGAAAAGAGGAAATTAAAAAGGAGAATGGTCAAACAAATTGTTCAGAAAATTAAAAACTCATTCTTCGTCTGGCTTCATCTGCTCTATGCTGCTTTGTAGTACGACAAGTACTTTTTGCTTTGTAAATTATTCGCACACCAGTCGGGTCGCCGGGCTTAGACCGGGGCTCATTTCTTACTTTTACAAACTAGTTAGAAATGTAGTTAAAGGCACAGGTCAGGAAACAGGTCAAGAAAAGGTGTTCCGGAGATTTGCATATAGTTTGAATTCGAAGCCCCTCCTGATACCATTTGTGCAGGAATGAGGTCGCAATTCGTTAGAATAGGGCACAATTAGGGCAGGAACATTGGGGGACGTCAGGGCTCCGCCCCTCGCTAGGCTGACTACGCGTTCGAATTTTCTTTCACCGCTTTCGCACTGGAGCGAAGATGGTGGAAAATCGATACGCTGATTGGCAAATTGCCAGGAATGGTCAGCTGGTCGACCGCCTCCTTTTGGTACTAATATTCGGCTGCTTTTCAACTGATTGGCTTCAACTGAGCATAAATCTTCAAATGAAAGTCAAAGAGTGTTCTTGACATTGTACAAGAACACATAAATGACCCCAAATGAAGAAAATCCATTGCAAATAAAAAAAANGGGGGGGGGCATTGATTTTACCCAACATTGAGAGTTAGCGTGCAGAGAAGAAAGAGTAGTCGACCTCACAAGTGCTTAGAAACGGTTTGGGCAAAAAAAAATATAGTTCAACCCAAGCCTCAAGGATGACAGCAGGGCTGGGGGTGAGATGATTTCCTCGCGCGAAAAGCAGTATAAGGTATGAGTTGAATATTCAACTGACTCACCCATCCTGGGCTCCTCAAGCGTGGGTCACTAACTGTACATATATTCTTGGCTAAGAAACGTTCCTGCGCATAAACATGAGCTACCCTTCTTATCTGCACTCCAGAGCTCAATTTTGGAAAGCAAGTCTCCCAGATGCACAATCACCTTCGACTTTTGTATAGACATACATAGCACGATGCCAGTACAGATCGAAATTACTGGTTTGAAGTACCTACTTCACTTCACCTCACTCACTTCACTCCGTAGCACTCGCTCCACTCCACTGACCTACCCACCAATTTACTGTTTTATATATAAGAAGGAAATGTGGGAGCTGTGTGGTGGCTGTCGAATTCTTGAAGAACCACGCCTGGTAGGGTGCAGAGGACCCCGCGCGAACAGAGTATCGGCTGCTGCGTATCGGCTATAGTAGACGCGTGCTCTGGCCTAAAGCTTCCGACAATGTGTCTACGTGTCGTCGTCGTATCCGGCTGTTACTGCCCGTCGCTCTGCCGTCGAACCCGCTCGAAGATGAAGAAATGATACAATTCGGCCAACTGCGTAGCGATCGACTCGGTCATGGAAGCCCAAAGGCGCCGAGCGGTCCTAATTCAAGTCACCAATCATGAGACTCAACACACTCGATTTGAGCCCCCTGATACGTATGTTTACTGGTCATCATCGTGTCCTTAGAATAGTAGAGTTTTTAATGTTTTCCTTGTGTAAATATGCATATATGATGTGTTATTTTTACCCTTCCATCCTTTTGATTATTACGTACCCATGAAGACTGCTTTGAATATTGTGTTGAAGGCTTAATATTTCAGACGAATTGCACCGTTGAAAGTTATATCTGGTCGATTAATGCAGTTGGGCTGTGCGTAGGCTCTTCCCTGTTGTAGGATGTAGCACGCGTAAAGGCGATAGTTGGTGTGTAGGACCAGCGTAGGGGCTGCAAGGGCCAATGCAACATTTCGCGTGGCAAGGGCGAGAGCGAGCGCCCGATCGGACATTCACGTCGACGGGACGCCGCTACTAAACGTGGCGAACCCTGATGCCCATCTATAGCAAGGAGCAGGGCGTCACCACCGGCGTGGCAAGCTGGTTTCCCATATCACTACTTTCATGGTTATCATAAAGTTTTGCGGACGCACAGACTTACAAACTGTGAAACCGACACACCAAGTTACTGCTTTATAAATAAAAGAGATATCCACATTTTACTGCTGCGCAACATTCCGCAACATGCTTCCACATTGTCTAGCCCAAAGAACTGAAGGGAAAACCCATAAAAGGTATTCAGGAATACATTAACGCGTCCTTGCTAGTGCTCCCTCAGTGAGACAAAATCCTACAGATCAACTCTTCTTCCACGAAGTTTCCATACGAACATCTCATCACCCTGCTCTTTCAAAGCTCAGGCAAAAACCCCATCCCCAGAGTCAAAATCCTTTCTTCACACCATTAAGGGCCTTCAGAGCCAGCGTTCCAAACTATTATACTGGAAGGACTAGCTTTTAGCAACAGGAGCGAAAATACTGTTGGGTGACAACTCGAGTGCATTTCCGCTCGTCTTTGCCTCGGTTGTTTTACAAGCCAGAGATTAGCAAAGTGTTGGGTCAAGGCCTCAAAATCAAAGAGCGCGCACGCGACACGCGAACGGTGAATCGTCAGTTCATAACAGATCGAAGAAAGAAGCACTTCCAGGTTCGACTTTCAATAAATATTTACATGATTTTGGCTAGTATTCAAAAGATTTTTGCTTAAACCTGCAACCTGCAACCAAAATAACAAACAAATTTCACACTAATTAGCATAACGTAACATACATAATGTACATATATAACATTGACACACTTCTGTTTTTCGCCAGCGAGCGGAATATTTGATCTCAAAGATCTCAGCTAATATATTAGCACTGCGTGGCTGCTTTTCTGCAGTGCGAAACGAAGTTTGAGTTGGTTGCCAGCTTGACAAACTTTTGTCAACCCAGACCCCCCGTTTCGCGTGCCTGTGATTTGAAGGCACAGTTTACGATGATTGGTTTCTGAGATTCTTCCCGCAAGAGTTTGGGGCCCCTACTGATACCATATGAGCTGATGCCAGGTTGAGAAACGTCCTGGATAGAGGAGCCAGATTTTGTATCATGTGAATGCCACACCCTCAGCGGACGAGTTCCAGCGGCGTCGTAGAATCTGCGCCATTCACAAGAGAATCCACGTAGGGAGTTCAAACAAGTTGTTATAACCCATTGCGACATTAGAAGAAACTTCCGAACAATACTGGCTTAATGTAGTCAGGTCTCTGCCCATATGCAACAGTTGAAATCTCCTTCGAATATCCCTTCCATACCATTTCCTTCATGGTAATCTTCTACAACTTCTATTTTCACTACTTTCATTTTTTTCACTTTACTTCTTTCTCAATGAATCGGTCGACTTCGTCGCTTACTTTGTCACTGGTGCTCTACCCCAACCAATGCTTTCACTTTTCGACTTAAAAAGAAAACCTCAAAACTATCGTGAACTGGGCCTCTAACTGCGACTATTTTTGAAACGAAATGCTCCACTTTTCAATACAGATAAATGCATTCGCATGAAATACGTCACACCCTGATAAAGCCCAGTCCTATAGATAAACTACAGTTTGAATTTTTTGTCTAGCAACCTTATTTGTGTTTGCAATAGAGTACGTGATCATTTATACTTTGCGCACACGCCTTCATTGATCTACTGTTGGTAAGCATTCTTGTTGAGCCTGTCCTGCACGTAGAAGGCCTTGTAACATTGGGTACGACCAGCTATCAGATAATCTTGTCATAGCGCTTGTTACACACATATCCAAAATGTCCTGGGCTGAAGTGCTGGCAAAATAGTATTGTAAAACGCTGTCCGGCTAAGGTCTCTTACGACAGTCTGGAAGTGAAAGATATTCGGAAGTCGTGGTCACGTTATGAAAGGTTCGAGCTCGGTCTGCGGTCAAAGTTTGTCCTCTTCGTAGACTTTTGCATCGCGTACCGACGCAAATAACAGTGTCCCAAGTCAAAACAAAATAATAACCGAACACTTCTAACCAGAGTGACATGGACTTCGACTTCAGAATGCGATTCGTTAAGTTCACATCTGGTGACATCT